ACTACAGCAAGATAATCATAATTATAAGTTATGATCTTGATCTCAAGCTTGACTATTATTTGACAGAAGTTCATTGAAACTCTTTTTTTTCTAGATTTTGATGAAGAGATTTATTTACTTCATCTTAATTAGCTTTCTGAAAGTTGTATTGATTTGAATAAAGTGGATTTTCAACAAGATTTTCAGTATTTAGTCCAATACTAAATTAAATAATTTTATGATCAGAGCCTGAGTAAAGAGCTTCATCAATCTACTACTCATATATCTTTTGAGCTAAGTTAGTGATGAAGAAGATCAAATCTATAATTAATTTAGATAATAAATTTGATCTGAAGAAAGTTTCTCTGTTTATCTTATTTATTAAATTCATATTATTCTTCTCAAGCTATTCTACTAGTTTTTCAGCTCTAACTGAATTAACTATATTTGAATTTCACCATAAATAATGAGCATTCATATCTCCAGTAATAATAGAGTATTGAGAAGCTGAGATATTTACTAGTTCTCTCTTAATAGTTGAAAGAATTGAGTTGTTCTTTAGATCTTTTTAATTATAGATATTTATCAGTTGTATGCTTTCAAACTGATTGTATTTATCTTTAATATCTATAACTAGAAGATTATTACTAAAGCATATATCAAATCTTAAGTAGAGTTGATATCTGAACTGTTTTCTAGCAAAAATAGCTACTCTAGATCTCAAATCTTTGTTGTCAGGAAGAATGCAATAATATGCATTATGAAAGACTGTAGAGCTCATTCATGGTTTCTGAAATAAAATATAATTAATTTTCTTTTCAAATTCAATATTAAAATATATATGCATTGACTTTTCATTTCTTTCAATATTATTCTGAAGAAAGATCAATTTTAAAAAAGTATTTAAAGTTTTATTTAATATAGATTAATAAATAGTAGTCTAACTTCAATCTTCTTCTTAGAGATTATAACTTGATTTTTATCTTCAGAACCTGTTTTATAAGATCTTTTAGAAACAGGTTTTGTTCTGGAAAGATTCTGCTCAGCTCTTACTAGTTACATTAATTTACTAGTATTTTGTGCTGAGTAGTTGAATTTTTTGAAGAAAACACACTCTGTGCTTTTAGTCATATGATTTTCTAGATAATTAGCACATTTTAATGTAGAGTATATATATTTTCTTCCAGTAATCTCACAAATTGAGCATTCATGCATACTTGTTTGATGTTTTTGAGCACAGATACTATATCAAGCTTTTTTTTTATAGTTTGATACTGTATACTTATAGATTTAACAGTTAAAGTATTATACAGTACTTTTAAATCTTTCTGATTATTTGTATTTACAAACTTTAAGATTCTGTCCAGCAATCACAACTGTTTTCAGATTTTCAGCTATTGTAGTATTTTAAATATAAAAGACAGCAGATATATATTTTTTCTGTGTTCTATTTTCAGCAGAAGATAGCCAGATTGGGTTTTTTTTAAAAAGATAAAGTTGAAAGTTTCTACCTCTTCTTTTAGAAGAGATAATACATTCTCTATATTAAAGATCTTTGTAAAGATACTATAAACTATAAAGACTTTCCAGTGCTTATCTTTATAAATTTCCATACTTTTTATATTAAAGTTTATTAGATCTGAAAATATAGATATTCAAGTCTGCTTATATTTTTGAAGAAAATCAGATAAAAGATGTTCTGTTATTATTAAAATTAGAGATTGATCTCTAAATAACTTAGTAATTGAAAAAATAACTAGTTTTTCAGTAATATTTACTTCAGTAAAGCTGTTACTTATTTTATTTCTGAAAAAGAAAGCTTTGTTACTGATCTCTTCAAGTACTTGAGTATTTATCTTGAGAATTAGTCTTTTTTCTCTAAGGAGTTTTGACCTAGAGAACTGTTTCTTATCTTTTTTATCATTTACTTTAGAGAGTAAAGAAGATTTGACTGAAGATTTAGTATTTAGTCTAGTTTTTAGAGCAGAAAAATATGATTTAAAAGTATTACTAGTAGATACTTTTTCTTGAGAGCAGATTTGTAAAGTATTACTACTGTCAGTAGCTACTCTTTTCTAATTTTCAAGCTGTATAATCTTTTTCTCAGAATTTTGAAGTTCAGAATTCTCAAAAACAGTAATATCTTCTTTTTCTTAAAAAGAAAAGATTTTTTGAATACTTAAAATACAAGTATTTAGTTCTTTTTGCATAAGAACATGATTCTTCTTCTGAGATTCTTTAGCAAGAAAATTACAAATTGACTTTAGATCTTGCTGTTCAGATTCAGAAGAAGAATCAGAAGTAGAAGATACTTTAACTATATTTCAAGAAGTATCTTCTTGAATAAGAAAATAAAAGATAATCTTTTAAAATTACTTTTTTAAGAAAATCTTCTAAGATTATTTTATATCTCACTTGCTAGTTAACTCACACTAGTTCAGTTATTTTACTGAGAGCTGAAAATCTTAATATAGAAGATTTTTCTTTAGCCAGAGCTACATCTATTAAATTCTGAACTAGTTTTTTGAAAGAACTAGCAAACTATATAGTTCTTTTTAAAGACTGTAATTGTGAAAACAGCTTTTAGAGTAAAAACTATAGAAAAACTATTGAGAGAGTAGAGAGTAAGAGAGCAAGCTAGTAAATCTCAGAGATATGAGTAATTATATCTCAAAAAAAGTCAGTTAGATTAATACTAGCAAGTATACTTTTTGAAGAAAAGTATTAAACTAGAGAGCTTTTTACAGAGAAGCTTTCAGAAACTAGCTAAGAATATTCTTAAATTTAGTAGTAAAGACTCATATTCAAGATGCCAGAGCCAATATTATAAAAATAAGATATATTCTGAGCAGAAAAGTAAGAAGAGCAGCTGATTTTTTCAGATGTAGTAGCATCAGACAGCTAGCATATCTTTTATCAGATGGAAAAAATAGCAAATCTGTTAAGTTACTAGAAATCTAGCTTGATTTCTTTCTTAAATGCAGAAAAATTAATAAAAACTGCTCTGATCTGCAAGATAGCCTATATTATAGCTTGTTTCTAGTTTAAAAACTTAGTTACTATAAGTATTTGAAAAGTTATTTTTCACTAATTAATTCTGATTTCTCAGCTACTAAACAGTATAGAACATACTAGTATTTAGTAAAGATTGGTCAGAATTTGCAGAGATCAATTTAGCTGAGCTATATCAAGAATATCAAGTTGATAGAGCTGATTTAGTGCTAGCATGAAGCCTAGAGAGCAAAAATCAGATAAGAAGAGATAGAAAGATAAGATAAGAGTAGATAAGATAAGAGCTCTAGCTTGCTTGGCACACCTCAACAAAGTGTGAGTAAGCAAGAGTCTTGACAAGAAAAATCAAAATAAGAGAGTATTCAGTAAGAGATGTTTCAGATAAAAAGAATGTAATAACACAATAAATAGTAAAGATATAATAAAGAGAATTTGATTTAAAGAGTATTATTAAGCTTGTCTCTCAAAATTCAGATGAAAAGACCATGTAGTTACTGAGTAATAGTGTAAGAAGTGTTTCTGACAGGCACAAGGCTGGCACCATTTATTTCCACTTATATCTTACCAACTGGCAAAGCAATTTATATGAAAATTAGAGAACTTGTTAGATAAGAAATAGCTTTCAAATAAATGTAGTTTTGTCCAGTTTGAACAAGAATTGACTGAGCAATCTTGTGTACTCTGTTTGAGTATGAAGTGTCTAAAATAGCTAGTCTTATTTCTAAAATATACTGAAATAGCCACTAGATAGTAGCTTTTTTAAATATACTAATTTTATTTCTTTTTGATTTGTATTATATTGCTACAAGAATTTTTGTTTTTCTTTAAAATTAAATATTATATTCTATCTGTTATTTGACTTTTATAAAGAAAGAACATCTTATATTATCTTGAAATACTTTGAATTTTTTCTTTCTTTAGTTTCTACAATGTATACCAAGTAAATTCTAACAGAGAAGCTGTTAGATAGTTTTTATAATTACTAACTGTATAAGACTATAATAAAAAACAATAATAATAAATCTTCAAATAACTTTTCTGTAAGAATTATATAAAAATTAATTTATAGATATAATATTAACTTTAAAGTTCAAGAAGTTTATATTATAGCTGTATATTAAGAAGAACCCAAGCTGACTTTTATTAATACAGTATTATAATTATTAATTAATTATTCTGTGTAAAGTAAATAAATTTTCATTACTATAAACTATTTATAGCTATTATCTCTAAGAAATAATTATAATTTACAAGTAATTTATAAGCTTATATATGTTAGCCTCTAGAGATTAAGAGATATTTCTTTATAACTAAATTTATACACTTTGAAACTAATAGATCTACAGAATATATAAATTAGATACTAAAAACTTATCTTAGAAACCATGTTAATTTGCACAGAATCTCTGGATAAAGAAATAATCAAGAAGAATTTTTTTTTGTAAATTTGTTAAGAATTTGTAATGAAAAGAAAAAACTTTACTTTAAAAGACTTCTAAGATTTTAAATTATTATATAAGTATAGTTTTATTAACTCTATACTTTAAAGCTATAAATCAGCAATAAAAGCTTGTTAAAATTTCACATTTTTTTATTGCTTTCTTAATTGCAGCTTTATTAACTATTTTATTGTAATTGAAAGAACCAGAAGGATTAAGAGTTGAATTTTGAAATTGCAGTTATTAGGTGCCAGGTGGTAAAAGTCATTGGGTGGTTGGAAATGTTAACTTGCTATGTTCTCACACTAATATTTCCCCAACTTGTTGCACTGTACACAGGTACCTGTCTGTACTTCCTACTGTCTACACTTCATAGATCAAGAGATTTTACAAAATTGATGCAGATTATCAAACTTTACAGAACTTATTGAAAGCTTGGCATAACTGCTGGACAGAGTAAGGTGTGTCAGAACCTCACAAAGACCCGCCTCATATAACCCATAATTCCCATTTAACTAGTTAACTAGTCCAGAGACTTAGTTATAGCCTCACAATTTCTTGCTTGTAATTATCGTCCAACCCTTGGGGCTATGCATGGGAGATCTTGACCATGAGTTGATGTGGAAACAAGAAGATAACTACTTTACCCCAGGATTGCATATGTTCACTTTGAGCAAAGCCAAGGCCATGACCGTTCTTCCATGTACCATTTAGTTATCCCTGCTTGGCCTGTCGCTGATGACCTCGTGTGTAGCTCACAAAGTTGGCCAGGAAGCCGTATCCTCTTTGGTCTGTCGAAGTTTCTCTCAAAGGCAGACATATCCCTTGCATGTTTATTCATCCAAATTTTCTCTCACACATCGACCTTCCCAGATGCCAAAAAGGTGGGACTGAGAAATGGCACCCACCCCACCATCTGTCACGTCGTCGAACGCAAGTACTCATTCTCCGCATGGACGAGTGGTGCGAAGACGGAACCGTGTCCCATTGTCCTGCGCCCCATGCAGAAATCGAAAGTTAGACCCTCCCCCGTTTAGATGTCCAAATACAAAACTGAGCCAGGTTTAAATTATTAACTAGGCTAAAGTGCAACCGCGCGGTGCCTTGCGAGAATTGCGTAAAGAGAGGAGATGCCCTTTCCTGTACATATGCTCAACCTAATGCCAGGAGACGGAATCATGGCAGCCAACTACAGCTAGGAACACCGGATGACATGCAAAGTCGTATCGACCGCTTGGAAAGCTTGGTACTATCATTGATGAGGAATGGGTCGCAGTCCACCGGTGCCGCACCGGTAAGGGAAGGCAGATCAGGAGACCCTGGCTTCTCCTCGCTGCACGATAGACATCGTTCCGGCCTTAGCGGAGATGATCGTGAGGCAACTGCTAGGGACGAAGAGAGTGACACGGAGCAGGTAACTAAGTCGTTTGGGATAATGAAGGTTGACGCTCAAAATCAGAAATCCTACTACGTCAGCGAGGCTCACTGGACCTCCATTCTTAACGATGTAAGTTTCGCGGATTGAAGACTATTTACATGTCAAATCTGACCCTAGCTAGATAGTAGAAGTTAAGAACTTTTGGTCGACACACAAGAAACAAATCGAAGAGCAGATGGAAAAGGTACGAGCTGCGAATAGCGAGCAAGATTTACCAAGCTCCGCCCTTATTTTTGGTGCCATGAAACCTTCGAATAAGGCTGAAATAATGTCATCATTCCCATCGAAATATACGACTGACATCCTAGTTGCTCGTTATTTCAATACCTACGATCCATCAATACGTGCGCTCCCCCGTCCGAAATACTGCAATCGACATACTGACCTTTTCAGACCTTATACACGCGCCGACTTTCAAGAAAGAGGTGAAGGGCTAATCATCCATTGCTGCTGTCAAGGAGCTAACTCTTTCGAAGTATGCGAGGCACTGGCAAGATCCATCAAACACGAGCATTGTTTGGATAGGGATGGTCTTTGCAATGATGCGCTTAGCAGTGTTGTCCTACCACCGAGACGAAGATGAACCCCCTGAATTTCGAGAGAAATCATTGGATATTGCTGGATCATATCAATCTTCAATGGCCCAATGTCTCATTTTAGCCGACTACACAAAACCGCACCGCTACGTCCTTGAGGCTCTAGTTCTCCACCTTCAGGGTGAATATTCACAAACTAGTGATGCGCAAGTCTCACTATGGGTTCTAGTCGGTATAATTGTTCGTTTAGCAATGCGGATGGGCTACCATCGGGATGCAAATATGTTCCCAAATATCAGTGTATTTCAAGGCGAAATGCGTCGGCGGCTTTGGAGTTTTATTCGATGCGCAGATCTTTTGTTCTCTTTTCAAGTAGGCTTGCCCAGTATGGTCCGCTCTGGGGATAGCGACACCGATATTCCGCGAAGTTTACATGACGATGACTTTGATGAGAATAGCACGGCTCTACCGCCCGGAAGACCCTTCAATGAGCCAACACCAGTTTCATACCTCGTTGCAAAAACTCGCCTTGCGTTTGTTTTCGGCCGCGTGTTGGAGCACTCCCAAAAAGTGAAAGGTTCCACATACGAAGAAGTTATGGAAATAGACAAGGCTTTGCGCCAAGCGCGGGAATTAGTCCCAGAGCATCTCCACGTCCAGCCAATTTCCGAGTGTGACAAAGATCCCGCGTATTTGATCATGAGCAGATTTGGTGTACGTTGCTGTGTAGCCTTTTATGGACGTCCTCTGTACTAATTGCTATCACCTAGATTATGAGTATTTATCACAAGGCTCAATGTGTCCTCCACCGACCGTTCCTTAACCACGCACGCGAAAACCCGCGTTACATTTACTCTCGTCGTACATGTATCGACAGCTCCATGGAGCTACTGAGATTCCAACTCATGCTGCATGGCGCATCACGCCCTAATGGAAAATTGCGCCATCGGACATGGTACTCTAGCTCATTTAGCTCTCACGACTTTTTGATGGCCAGCACAATTATAGCCCTCGATTTATATCACGATTATCGATCTCATAGCTCTGAACCACTGTATAATACGGCATACAGCAAGGATGTTCAGAGGCAACAAGAGATGCTGGCGGCCCTTCGAAGGTCCAGAGATATATGGGACGAGCTAAAAGACAAGTCCATAGATGCATGGAAAGCGGCGGTCGTCTTGGGTATGTTGCTGGAGCAGCTGAATCAAAGTTCTAAATGTTCCGAAACATCGCATTCAGAGCAAGTGCTTGATGCACAAGATGAAAAGCAAACTGCTGCAATGACACTGGGGCTTCTTAGCAGTGGCATAACCCCTTTGGGTCCAACAAGCCCCCCCCAGGTCTGTGAGAATATGGGCAAAATTGATCCAAACATCCAGCAACAGTTGCAACGGAGCAGCATAGAGAGCATTGACCACGGCCCTCCCCACACCTCCGCAACCCCTTTCGGTATATTTGGACATATGCCAGACATGCAATCATTTAACCTAGACTGGGTATGTTGGATGTCTCCACGCATATGTCTCGACCTTTGTATATTCACCCTCCTGTTGCTGGTTTCAATGGTCCACCACACACCTAGACAGACTTTGACGTCGCTAATTTTGGATGTACAGGAGGCGTGGGACACATATATCCAATCAACAGCATTTGATGCAACTACCGAAGCTCGGACAAGCTCGGATCCACAGCAGCTTCAACAGTCGCAGTTTACGATAGGATCTCTGAGGACCGAAAATGGACCAAATCCCATGCCAAGAAGGACATATCCCAATAGTCCGGGGTTTTTCGAGTCGTTGGAAGCTGGCAGCTTCGGTGGTGGTATGGACATGACTCCTGAAGCTGATGTTCCCGGATATAATCCTGGGCAGCCATGATTTAGAAAGATATGGTTTAAGAAGAAAATATTTGATAAAGGTATTAAGATGATGTGAAGCTTTTTGGCCTTAATGATAATGAAGCCATGTCAGTGCTTAAAACAGGGCTGAGGTCTGTAACTACATGGTATTCGATTATCTTAGATAGAGTAACTACCTTAGAGAAATGTTATTGGCCCCCCTTATTTTGTGATCAATCTTTGATTGACTCTAAGAAGGCAACTTGGTGAGTAGGATGAAGTGCTCAAGAAATGTGTGCATCAATGGTATAGTAGTAGTCATAGGCTGAGTAGTAATAACAAGAGAGATTGCACTCTAATAAACATCTAAGCTTATAGAAGTAACTATACTAATAAGCTCTGTATGTTCAGAGTACGGAGTAGTGTACTTTTGATACAGCCATAATTACTAGTGTGGGTAAAGACTTCTGGACACCGTAGTACTCCGTACTCTGTACCTAGTTATGCATCATCCAGTATGGAGTACTCTGTAAGGGGTAATTATGGTGCTATTCTTCAATTTGTCAGTGCTCAATACAAATCATTTCTCTTGGCTTTTTTCTCTTTTTCCATACTTTCTAAATCCTCTGCCTCATATTACCTCTTCCAGAGTCACTCTTTCACTTAAAATGTGAACTTCCGTTTCATATGTGATCCGAGCTGAAAGGTGATAAGGATGCCTAGTGTGGGAGATATGCCAACCCAAGCAAGCCCAGCTCTGGGCTACTCTGTGGCACACCAAAATGTCGAGCTTGATGTCGACTTTGGGAACCAGACGTTAGAAGGCAGGACAGAAATTATCATCCATCCCCTCCATAAGGACTTAAAAGCGATACGATTGAATTTTCGTCAGGGTGAATTGAAGCGCCTGAGCATAAACGGCAAACCAGCAACTGTGAAATACGTGGACCCCTATCGATCTTTGCAACTCTATGGTGTCCATCAACACCGCAAACTGTCATCGCGTGTCGATCCATTGTTGTCAATTCCTCCAGAACCCGAGATTATTGTCATCATCCCGAAATCAATCCGAATTGAAGAGCTCGACCCGTTGTCCCTCGACGGGCAAACTCAGATTCCATTACGAGCCGGTGGTAATATTGAGGAATCAGCAGATATTCCAATTGGTTCGAAGCCACCAGATACCTTGATTGCGAGATTTACTCCAATTACTGTTGAAGTTGAGTTTTCACTCGATCGCCCTAGAGATGGAATTCAGTTTGTTGGCATGGATAGCTTTGATCGGCGTTATCCACATGCCTTTACGACGGTGTCAACCATTACTGGTGATGGATGCTGTTTATTTCCTTGCATTCAAGACCTGTCAGTACGGTGCACATGGGATTTTTGCATACGGTGCCCCCGCACTTTGCGCGATGTTCCCCGTCAAAAGGGCAACATAACTGGAAGGGAAATAACCTGTGATGATCAATCCATGGACATGGTTGTTGTTTGCTCCGGTGATATGACTGATGAGATTATTGACACGAATGACTTGACCAAAAAAGTATCCTCGTTCTCTTGCAACACGCCATTATCCGCCCAGCAAATTGGCTTCGCAATTGGTCCTTTTGAATATGTCAACCTCACACAGTTTCGTGAAAGCGATGAAGACGAGCAGCTTGGCCAGAATGCCATCCCAGTCCATGCATTTTGCCTTCCAGGTCGGGCAGATGAAGTGAGAAACACTTGTTTTCCTCTCGCAAAGGCTGTGGACTTTATCTCTTTAACCTATGGTTCTTATCCCTTTTCAAGCTACAAGTTGTGCTTTGTTGATAGTGCTCCGTGGGACACTTCTCCGTATGCTGCACTATCGATGTGTAGCAATCGACTACTCTTTCCCGATGAGATTCTTGATCCATTATACGATTCTACCCGATGCCTAGTTCATGCATTAGCCTCTCAGTGGATGGGGGTGAACATAATTCCCAAAGAGCCAACAGATAATTGGGTTACCATTGGTGTGGCATATTACATAACAGATACTTTCATGAAGAAGCTGTGTGGAAATAACGAATTCAGGTTCCGGCTAAAGCAAACTTCAGATAAAATCTGTGACCTTGATATTGCTCGTCCCTCAATCTGGCACATAGGAGCACTTCTCAAATTGGATTCGTCTGAATATGAATTTCTTTCATTAAAGGCGCCCCTGGTTCTCTACATCCTGGAGCGTCGATTATCAAAGGCAAGTGGCAAAGCAACTGTTTCGCGAATTCTCTCTCGCATATTCCTAAATTGCCGAATGGGTGATATCCCTAACAGTGCTTTAACAACAATCTTTTTTCAAAAGCTTTGTGAAAGGTTTGGACATGTTAAACTAGATGCCTTTTTTCAACAGTGGGTCTATGGCGCAGGATGTCCCCGTTTTGTGGCCACACAGAGGTTTAACAAGAAGAAACTTGTTGTTGAGATGATGATTCGACAAGTTCAGTCAGAACAGTTGAGTGCTCGCGACCTTGAGAAGTCTACGTTCATGAGAGATGTAAAAGAGGAGCTCCAAAATATTTATGCCGGAACCTTGCAACATGTCTTTACCGGATCTATGACAATCCGAATACACGAAGCGGATGGCACTCCATATGAACACATCGTGGAGATTAAAGAAGCTGTCACCAAGTTTGACATCCCCTACAATACGAAATACAAACGCCTTAAGCGCAACAAGCGGCAAAGAGAAAGAGCGGCGGCATCGTCAGGTGTTGATCCGAATTCCGAGGCTCAGGATGATGTTTTACTGTATTGTCTAGGTGATGTTCTCCAGTCTGAGGAGGAAATACTGAAATGGCGACTCGTGGAATGGACGAAAGAAGATGAGGACCGAATGGGCCAGGAGTCATATGAATGGATTCGTATGGATGCGGATTTTGAATGGATCTGCAAAATGTCCCTTACGATGCCGGGATATATGTACCTCTCTCAGCTCCAACAAGACCGTGACGTTGTGGCACAACTTGAGGCGAGTAATTCTCGGGTTGGATTTATGGCTGCTGCTAATTGCATACAGTCGATACAATACATGGCCGCTCAACGAGAACATCCTCTGATATCTACAATTTTCGCTCGCACTTTAATGGATAGCAGATATTTCCACGGAATTCGAACAGCTGCGGCTCATGCGTTGGTGAAGCATGCAAAGGAGGACGTGGATTGGATCGGTCTGTTTCACCTTGAAACTGCCTTTCAAGAGCTGTTTTGCCTGCCAAATTCACCGATGACGCGGTCAAATAACTTTTCGGACCGGTCTTCCTACGCTCTTCAGATAGCGATACCAAATGCTATCTCAAAAGTGAGAAACCGGAATGGTAGATGCCCCATGCGAGTAAAGAGATTTCTTTATGAAAAATTGAAATTCAATGACAATTCGAACAATGAGGTATGGATATCATAATAATTGTGGCAATATTGCATGCTAACACAACTATTAGTTTTCTGATTGCTACTATGTCGCTGCGCTCATGCGGTCTATTGCGAATGCTTTGATCGGCGGCAAGGAAAGCATTCACACCAAATCCAAACTAGATATGACCCAGGAACTCGAGCGCCAAGCTGAGGACCAGCTTTATTTAGATTGCATAGCGGAAATTAACCGATATAAGCGAATGGATGAGTGGACAAGCTCCTTCCAGAACTTGTATACGCGAACGGCACTTGATTGTCTGCGACGTTTGATGAAAGAACACAGGGTGCTTGACTTCGACGTGGCACAGTTCCTCCCGTACACTCGTATCGGTACTTTTGATTTAGTTCGCCTGGACGCGTTCCGGATACTACTTGACCTGGATAATTTCCAGCATCCTGAACTTCTGAAGTGGTTTTTATATGTAATGTCCACGGATTCATCAGCATGGATGCGTCGGGAGCTATATCGTGCCTTCGGCATAACCCTTGCAACTGTCGCGTTTGGTAGAGATGATGATCTCACCGAATCACCCCTTGATCACTCTCTCATTGTTGAGCAAGAGTCCTCCACTGATGCCCGGAGAGCCAAGCTTGCACGCAGACAAACCATTCCTGGTGCAATTCATGCTTTGAAGCAAGAGCTTTCAGAGAATGCGGCTTTAAAGGAGGGTCTGTGGGCGGCCTGCAATTCGATTTGCATTGGTGTTACTGAACTCAGCGATTTCCTTTATCTCTGTACAATTCTGTATGAACCTGCCCACCAGGTCATGGTAGTTCTGAAATATCCGAGATACTGGAAGGCGGAACATATAGGAAAGGTTGGTCATTAAAGGCTTGAAAGAATGGCAATTTTGCATAGGCTGACTTCCGGCTATTTATAGGGCAAGGTCAGGTTTTCAAAATCGAACCGACCTCGAACATATTCCATCGCAAAGTCCAAAATAAATACGGGTTTTTCGACTAATCAGGTGCTCGATAAAAGAAAGCGCGATGATGGAAATGCGACTGTGACTAGCCGAAAGATAACGCTTAAAGTACCAAAACTTGCGTTTATGCCTTCGCCCTCGAACGCTGATGTGTCTTCGCCATTAAGGCCTCCAAAACTTAAACTCAAGATAAAAGCACCCTATAACCCTGACATCCCCCACACATAGTGCATCCTCTTCAATTCTTTCCTCGAGGATGCCTCATGGACGGCGCGTGGAGCTATGCATGGATGGCTTGTTTAGTGACGGGCGAATAAAAGCCGAGCTTGCCCTGTCGTATGAATTTCAATCAACATGACATTTTGATATATCACTTTAAAGGGCCTCTGAAACCTTGTTAAAACTTTATAGCTATTATCGAATGTAGTAGCCTGTCAACCTGGAACGATAATCTTCGCGAATGAGCTTCCCGACGCGTCTGAGTTTCGTCAACGCATGGCTGCGCTTTCTTGAATGTTGTTCACCAAAACCTGCCGAATCAGTCCGGAGTATGCATTATCGATCTGCTATTCGCTCGAGAGCCTGTGATGTACAATAAGCATCCCCATCCTGAACACTTGAGAGCACGACGGGGAATATTTACCTCAAGCATAACAACCGAATTCCCACGAATTACCTATCTTATCAGCATGTCATGCCATGAACATAATTTCAATGCGATCCTTACCACCATGCCTAAGCGCACTTTCTCGCCACCAGTCTTTTCTTCAATCGCTTCATCCAACACTATATTCATAAATACCTAGCGCGAAGTCAGATCTGCAAATGTGATTAGGAGGGAAAATAGTAGACAAGAAAATCACAAACATCATAGCCACGAAGGACACCAATGACCCTGCGATTACCATTGATTTGGATGAGGAGCCGCTTTTCCATGTACTGTACAGCAGCATTAGCACAGCAATCCGGCTAAGCATAGCTTGGACCAGTAATACCTTCTTCAACTCTGGCTGTGCTTGAGGCATATTTGACAACTTAACGATGATAACTCATAGACAAATGGTCATGGGTAATCAAGAGTGCCGCTCTGTTTGAGAATGCAAATCAGGACACGTGAATTTGCAACAGGAGATACTGGGTCAGCAACTGGGCATAAATCAGAAAAATCCCTGTGTCGGCGAAACTACCTGATTATTCAAACCACGACAGAAAAGTCACCACCTTTGTCAGGCTTCTCTCAGACTGTTTCCCAGGTTAGTACCAAGCCACTGTTGGCGCACCCTAACCCTTTTAGGTTTGGGGGGATTACTTAGTTACTTTTGGACATTGTGTTGAGACACTAGTCTCTATGTAGTTAGCCTTAAGCTTCTTGTCTTGAATTTTCTCCAATCTGATGCAAAGTTTTTCTCTTGCTCAGCTTAGCTCTGAGTTTCCACAAAAAGCAAAGCAAGACTGAATTTGTAGGTGATAAATTCTATTAACAAGCTTTTATTTCTCTCTTGTCTTTATCTCATAATTAATATTCAAGATATTTAATTTCTTTTTCACTTAATATTTAACTGCTGCAGTCTCTAATTTTCAAATATAACAGAGTCTTTTCTTCTTGTATATAAAGCAGCTTCAAAACATGAAATCTGAGAACTTCTTTTATTACTGATATATACAGATAAAATTATAAGCTTCTGAGAATTTTCTTTATATATAAACTGCTTCTCTTCTTTACTCAAGAATTACAAAAGTTTTATCAGTTCAGATAATATTTTTCAGTTCTCTAAAGTCTAGTTCTTATAGGCAAGACAGAATCTAAGTTTTTTTTTTCTTGTAGATTTCATTAGATCTGATTTTCAAGTTAGTTTGATAATAATAAAGTCATAGTTCTTAAGAATTTGCAAAATATTTGAATGAGATATACTAGCTTTAAATATCAGAATCTTAGTAGATTTCTTTTTTTCTGAGTAGCTCTTAGTTACAGAGATAATAATTTCAGCTTTTTTAATACTTATTTTCTTTGACTGGCCTGATCTAAAAGTATCTTTCACATAACTGAGAGAAATTTAAGAGTTATTCTTGAGATCAAAGTCATGATCTTTTACTTGCTTTTGAATATTATAGAGAGTAGAAAGAGAAATCTGAAGAGTATGAGAAATATCTAAGATAGAAATTCTATAAGAGATTAAAGCAAGAGCTTGAATTTGTGTAACAAGCTTATTATGAAGAGAGATTTCTCTGAAAGACATGGTGGGCAGATTTAATATTTGAATTTGAAGAGATTTGAATGAAAAGTAGAAGCCAGACTATTTATTGAATAATAGAAGATACCTGCTACCTTACCAAATTTTGGTGGGGCAGCATGTAACTGCAATATGTTGAAACAAAATAGAGCTTCCGGGAACTTTTGTTCCACACCTCTGTACAGAGTACTGCTCTAGAAATTTCTGCTAGAACTTTCTATATAATTGAAAAACAAGCTAAAGATTGTAACTATAAGTCTCAAAAGAATCAGCAAATTGATATTTCATTTATTGAAGATGCAAAGTAATCAGAATGTTCTAAAGAGATAGATTTCAGTAAAGAATCTGAGATATTGAATTTGATTCACAAAGATAGAGCTGGTGAAGTGAAACCTACTGATATTCTTGTCTTTGAATCTGATATATTGCACTCAAGTATTTGGTGAATTCTGTAGTATTATGGCTTTATTAATATTAAACCTACTTGGAAACCTGGTCTAACTAAGTCTATAAGAGAGAAAAGGCTGAAATTTGCTATTGCTTATAAGAATTAGACTCTAGATAACTAGAAGAATATTATCAGAAGTTTGCTTGAATGTAGATGAAAAGATGTATAACTTCTTGTGGAGCTCCACACAAAATCAAGACTGCAAAGAAAGTTTGGCTGCAAGTCTTGAATAAGCTTTTGCAAGAGAAGATTCAACCGTAGATTGAGTGAATTCCACATCATATTCAAGAGATTATATGCCTTAAATAAGAGAATAAGTATAGAGAGAGTGATTATAAGAGTTTTAGAAAGTATAAAGATCAGTGTTTAAAGAGAAAGATCTCAAAACAGCAGAATTTAGAAAGAGATTGCTTAGCTAGTAAATTAGAAGCTGCAGAGACTTTAGCAGCTTTATATCTTAGAGATATAAATACTTGAGAGAATGTACAAGAGAAGAAATAAATCTATAATCAAAGATACAAATTAATTCATACTAATTTGGCAGAATTCACCATTTAATGTATTTCTGGTACTAGCCTAGGCCTGCCACATGATCTATTATAGATATTATTATTATTATTATTATTCATTATAGTCTTATGCCGTCAGTGATTATGAAGACTACCTAACAGCTTCTCTGTTAGAATTTACTTAGTATACATTGTAGAAACTGAATAAAGGAAAAAATTCAAAGTATTTCAAGGCAATATGAGATATTCTTTCTCCACAAAAGTTAAATAGCAGATAGGACATAATATTAATTTTAAAGGAAAATAATAATTCTTATAGCAATGTGATACAAATCAAAAAAAATAAAATTAGTATATTTAGAAAAACTACTGTCTAGTAGCTATTCCAGTACATTTCAGAAATAAAACTAGCCATTTTAAGCCTAATTCAGTTTCAAAAATAAAATTTAAAGATAGTTAAGAAATATCAAGTTCTTGTTAAATTTTTCTTCTTTCAGTATAATAAGCTGAGCAGTCTAATAGTAGATGCTTTGAATTTTCAACATAATTACAGAAAGAGCATAAATTAAAAGAGTAGTCAGATAATCTTATTAGATAAGATCTGAAATATTCATGATGAAGCTTTAATTGGCAAATAGTTGATCATATTTTCTTAGATATAGAAAGAGTAGATACTTTCCATCTGGATTTTATTTTAAATTAAAAGTAGTGATTTGTAAAACTTTCTCTATTAAAAAGATCTTCAAATCACTCTATTATTGCTTGTTCTTTTATTTATCTTTTTATATAAGTAAGAAATATATATCTTTCAGAACAAACTTGATTTAATTCTGTAGCTTTCTTTGCTGCTAGATCAGCTTCTTCATTTCCATGTATATTTACATGTGCAGGAACCCAATGAAGATGTAGATTAATTTGCTGATTTTTAATAGACTTAGCAGTTTTTCTTATAGATTGAAGATAATATAAGCCAGAATTAAGATCTTGATTTATGAGTCTCTGAATAGCAGCTTGACTATCAGAAAACACCCAGATATCTGATATTGATCTTGATTGAGACTGAGAGATAGAACTCTTCTATTGAAGGCTTTGCACCTTAAGCTGCTATATACAATGCCTATAGCAACCAACTGCTACATCTATCCTGTCAGGCCTCCTAGCAGGTTCTGCTTCCCTAGCTAGGGGCCGCTGCCCACCTGGAACCCCCCAAGCTCTAGGCTTCTAGCTACCAATCTCAGCATCCCAGCCTACCAATTGGCTATTGCAGTCTTGCCCCAGGGGGCCCAGTCACCCCCTGGAACTAACCACCTATCCTATAGCCTATTCTCCATGCTGTATCTAAGACTTAGCCCTAATATTATCACTAAGCAGGGGCCTAGGACCTACACACACAGCTCTGGAGGGCCAAGATAGGTTCAGAGTGCCCTGTCTAGCTAGTTCCTCCTGCCAGCCACTAACCAAGCACACAGCTAGTGGCCAAGCACCCCCCCCCACCTTGCACACAGTGGGGTAGCAAGGGTTTCAACCAGTCAGGTGGTTTTCAAAGCTATTCCCCAGTTAAAGGTGGCCTCTAGGGGCCCCTGGCTTTTAGTTGAGAATAGAGCTGAAACTATGTGAATTTTATTGCCTTCTTTGGCAGGCAAAAAAGCATTAGTAGCGCCTGTAGAGGGACTTGAACCCCCGCCCCTGGGAGAGGGCAGTCTGAGCCAGGTGGTGCTGTTGCCATTGAGCCACCCATGCCAGGCAGTCTATTATAGATAGAAGATCATTTCAGTTATTCTAGTAGTGGCTAACATATAGCCTCAGACATGTGGCTAGATATTAATTTGTGATTTTAGTCTGCCTATCTGTTTAAGTATAATGAGCTGTGAAGAGCTTCAGCTTAACATCCAGAATCTTTATAATCTTCTTTCAGAACTTCAAAATAAGCTAAGACTCTCAGTCTGAAATAATGATATTCAGAACTATATAATACCAGTAGTACTCTTTCAGAAACAGCTTGACAAGTTCTACAGCATTTATCTTGCAGATTGTTAGCAATAATATTAGTTTCTTGCTTAGTCAGCAGACAATAACTAGAATAGTATTACAACTCTGCTTTGTTATAGAAGTCTTTATAAAATTCATAAAGATGTGCTGCTAAAGTCTTTTAGAGATTGGCAGTAGCTTCAATAGTTCAGAAGTCTTATTTCAGAGTGTTTTACTTCTCTAGCAGATTAGATAGTTATCTAGTAATTAAGTTAATAAAATCTTTTACTAATTAGCTCTATAGTCTTTTTCTTCTCTGGGTGTGCAATAAAGAGTTGATTGTGAATCTCTTTAAGTAACCAGATTCTCAGACTAAAGTTCTCTTTTGTTAAAATGACAAGACAGCTTTTAAAGTACAGTAGTTCATTCTTTATACTTTATTTACTGTTCTTCTTTATCTGGTCTTGCTATTTCTTTAATAATTTGGCTGTGCAATTTGCAGTCAGAATCTGATCTATCAGCACTATATTCTCTTCTTTCAGAATAACCATGTCAACTTTCTTCAGTTATTCTTTTTGAATTCTGAAGTTAATGCACTCAGGCTTTAGTAATAGCTGCAGGTGAAAATTCTTCAGATATCTCTGAATTTTAAAGTAGCTTAATGTATTAGCAAGAGTATTCTACTTTCCAGGCCAATATTGAATGACAAAGTAGAATCAGAATAGAAATTTAGTTTAACAAGCCTGTCAGACATTCAGCTTCTTTTTTGTTATAAAGTACTTTAATGCTCTATAATCAGTAAAGATCTTGAATCTCTTCTTCTGTCATAATTGTTCTAGTTCAGCATATTATTCTGATAGAGTATATACTATAGCTAATATCTTCTTGTTATAAATCTTGTAGTTCTGTTCTGCTCTGCTTATTGATACTGAATAGAAGATAACTGAGTACTATTAACTATTTTCAAACTTCTAAGAGAGAACTTTACTAATTAATTATACTGTCAGATACATCTGTCTCCACTCTTGTTTCAAGAGTTAGATTATAATATCAAAGAACTGAAGTCTTAGCTAGTGTGTTCTTTAGCTAATTAAAGGCCTGTTTGCACTGTTCTGTTCATTTAAATAATGAATTCTTTCAGATCAGCTGGTGAAGCAGCTTAGAGATTAAACTGTATGACTACATAAATCTTCAGTAGAAATTGCAAAAGCTCAAGAAGAATTAAATCTCTTGAACTGTAGTGAGAATCTTCCAGTTACTAATAATAGTAATTTTCTCTAAATCAATCTTCACTAACAACATGTGAGCAGCACTGGAGTGAAAAATAAAAAGAGATGGAAGAATCAGATTACTCTTGCTATAATAAATTCAAGTATGAATATCAATGTAAATTTCACAAAAACAAGAGATTTTGAAAAATAGCAAGATCTCTGCATGATTTAGAAGAATGTAAAATCTGTACAGAATGCAGAGACAATAAGTATATATAAAGAATACACAAAATCTGGTGTACCAACAAGAAAAATTGCATCATATATAATCAGGCACTCAAGATAACTCTTGTTAATTTGAGAAATGAGCAGGCTGTCATAAATGAGAGTTTGTAAGCAGCATGAATAGGCAAGTAAAACTGTTAGTCATTAATAAATAAATCTGTCATCTCAGAGTTACAGTAATCTTGCTTGAATCAAGGCATGCAATGATCTTAGTAAACTCAGAAGTGACTGGACTATTTATTAACAGAAGATTTACTGAATGAGCTGGCATTGTGAAGTGAATAAAGAAATATCTCTACTAGTTATTGGAACTGGGAGAAGAAACTCTGAATAGAGTTGAAGAAGAAACATATCTTATTAGAATGAAAATAGAACAACATCATAAGAAAGTGTGTTTTGAAGTGATGAATCTAAAGAACTATAATATAGTCTTGAGATACTCTTGGTTGAAATGACACAACCTAGAAATTAACTGGTGAGAAGAAAAGATTAGACTGACAAACTATAGATGCTTTCTTGAACTAGAAAGTCATAATTAGAGATCTACACTCAGAAATGACTTAGATGAAATACTGGCTGTAATAAGTCAGATTAATCAGAAGATACCATGTAAAGAATAATTGATTAATACTGAAGAGACTCATAAAAACCTGATCTATAATGAAAAAGCAGATCAAACTATAAAGAACTTTAATGACTTAGTGTAGCTGTAAGTACAAAAGAATGACCAAAATGAAAAAATTAAAAAGACTCTATTAAAAGAATTTTCAAAATACATTAATGTATTCAGGAAAAGAAATCAGAGCAACAGCTTACCAAAGCATGAGCCCTGAAATCATGAGATAAAGCTACAAGAAGAAAAACAACCAACAAAACTGCTAATATACAGGTTGAATGAAAAAGAATCAGCTGAAGTGAAGAAATATATTAAGAATAATCTTCAGAAAGATTATATAAGAGAGTTGATATTACCAGCAAGATACTCAATACTGTTTGCATTAAAGAAAGATGGAACTTTATAATTGTATGTGAATTACAGACAGTTGAACAGCATTACAATTAAAAACTGTTATCTGATACTACTGATTGAGGAAGTGCCAGACAGATTGAGAGAAGTAACATAATTTACTTTAATTGACATTAAAGATGCCTACCATCAGATATAAATCAAAGAAGGTGACAAATGAAAGAAAGATTCTGAAATAAAATATCTTGATGATGTGATTATATACATCAAGAGAGACTGAAAGAATCACATTGTGAAAGTCAAGAAAGTACTAGAAAAACTACAGAAGTATAATCTACCAGCAAAACTAAAAAAGTATGACTTTTATAAGAAAGAAATCAGATATCTTGAACATATTGTATTAATAAAAGAAATACAGATGGAAGCAGGAAAAATTGATGAGATACTATAGTGACCAATACTGAAGAAAGTTAAAGAAGTGCAAATGTTTCATGAACTAGTGAACTACTACTGATAATTCATACATGAATTTTTGAAGGAAGTGAGACCACTCATACAGCTATTTAAGAAAGACAAACTATTCAAGTAAACAATAGAGTGCTATAGTAACAAGTATTTGAAGTGATAAAAGACAAATTCAGAAAGAAGAAATGAGAAGGCACTATAATCTGATAAAAAAATGTGTGATTGACATGGATGCATTGAATTATATAATAGCAGAAAGATTATAACAACCAGACAAACAAGAAAGACTGAGATTAGTCACATGCTACACAAGAATGATGACACCAGCTGAACAAAACTATAATATTCATGACAAGAAACTACTAGTAATAGTAGTATTACTGAAGAAATAGAAGATCAAACTGCAAGAAAATTAATATCAGACAGAAATTATCTCAGACTACAACAATCTGTAATACTTTATGATGACAAAAGAGCTTACAAGAAGACAAGTGAGATAGTATACAGACATACTGGTACACTATAACTTCAGGATTATAAAACACTGTAAAGATACAGAAAATGTCTGAGTAGATGCACTAAGTCAAAGACCAGATCTGATGAAAAAAGAACAGGATTCAAGAACACTCTTTAAAGAATTGAAAGAAATAAAGAATATGATTCTGAATTAACAGATGTTGGAAGTGACAAGAATCATTACAGAAGAATTGGATATTGAAGAAAAAATCAAAAAAGCAATAAAGAAAGATAAATATATAAGAAAGATTAACAGAGAAAATGGAAACTTCAAGAAAGAAGATGGAATGATACTATATTATAGACTGATATACTGTAAGGATTCACCTGCAAACCTCTTACATGAATGAATAACACCCACAAGAGCCCAGGATTTCAGCTTGCAAGCTGTTGGGAGTACATGTGTCTTCACAAGACACTAAGTCATATGCTTGTGAGCACACATAAAAGGCTGCCACTGCATGAACCTCTTGTTAGAAGCCAGTAGCAATCTTGTCTACAAGTTGTATATAGCTGCTAATATTAGATCTTTTACCTCATGTACTTTTTTCTATGTACAATTCCTTCTATAGATTTATTGTCATGCTGATCCACATGTATGATTCTCACATTTTGCCACTCTTCTTTAATAATGCCTGATAATGGTATCAACATGAAGAAGCCAATCTCCTGAAGCTTGTGAACCTGAGACACCAGCAGAAAATCTATCTGAAGAACAAACCCAAGTTCACAAGAAGATGATAAATCTTGAAACTATCTCAGCTCTCTCAACTATGAATGAAACTAAAACTAGTATTGTGACCTCAGAGAGAGAGTCTATCTTAGCATCAAGAGATAAAATCCAATAACTTTGCAAGAAAACCAAACTACTAAAGAGAATGATGAAATAGCAAGAAAAGTTAAATACTCTCCAGAGCATTCAAAAGCACTTGTGAAGTGAATCTCTTGATATGATTATCTTCAACTCAACACCTGTGAATTGTCTGTCAGTCTTGAGACCATTATAATACACAAAGCTCTATCAGACTGACTTCTATACAAAATATTGGTGGTTTATCTCCAGTATTGAATTCACTCATAATACAAGCAAATTAAATGATGAGGAAACTTTTGTATATATTCTTACAGAACTTGATTACATTGAAAAAGGTCTCTGAAAGATTTACTGTAAAAATAACTCATTAAAGAATAACTGGAATAATCTCAAGAAATTTCTATATATAAGACTAGGAGATCCAGCAAACTATATGTGAAACTCTTGATAAGTAATCTTTAATCTTTGCAAGAGCTTGAATGAAATTGACCAAGCTTACTATTAATAATTTCTA